GCTAGTTCTCGGAAAGTATCAAATTTTTTTTTTGGGGGGGGGTGGGCTACAGAAATCTTACAGCAGACAGTGTATAGTTGAAACTTTCTTGTTACTGTAAACTCATATTGGTTCATGTAAAAAGAGTCAAAGGTTTAAAAATACTTCCATTCGTGTGCTAATGTTTCATCATACGTATTGTTCTAACAGGGACTGTGCCTTGCGAGCTTAGATGTTAGATACATTAACAAGTATTGTATGGTGTATGATATTCATTTGAATTAAGATTATTAATCTTGGACCTCAGTGATAAAATTCTACAACAGTGAAATTGTATTTCAAGTGCTCTGTTAACTTTATTTTCTGAAAACATGTACTGATCCAGCTAAAAGTGAAAAATTAAAAGCTTTTTGAGCCATATAGTAATGCTTTATCATATTTATTGCCTGAACAGGGAATCCTTCTTGCTTTTTAAAATGAAGTAGAAACATTGTTTTTGGAATACAGGTAAATTTGTTTGAAACTGATAAACTTGTGCAGTAATCAGTTAGAATCGGAGGCGTATTGTATGTCATTCAGACCTTGTTGAGTTGTTCGGCCAGCTAAATTTGAAGAGATATAGCACTTCAACTGCAAACTTTAATTTTATATTCAAGTTTTAATTTTTGGACTTTATTAACTACTAGCTGAAGTACCCATTAACATATGAGGGAGACATGGGCCTCACATGGATTGACATGGAAGGAGGGGGGGCAGATTTGGATGTGAATCCTACCCCCTTCCCTATGATACTTTTGGGGCTCTGTAGGTGCATATGAGGTTTCTTTGACATCAGTCAAAAATGTAGGTGTGAAAAGTAGACACACAGATGACACTCCTGCTTTTTATGTATATACAAGCAGAGATACCCATCCTTTGTCCAGGTTATGTATGGGTGGATGCTATGATAAATAACATGAAAATTCCAATTTTCACACAATTCATTTATAACATAACATATTATTACAGTATTCATTGTTATCTCACCAAAAGTTTTGTATAAGTTTTAAGAACTCAGTGTGTATGTACTTAAAACATAGTATACACTGTGTGATTTTGTAAGAAGAGTAGTGATCAAAGTAGTGGCGGTAGGTGTGCTTTTTGTTACTGCTTTTAACACCCAGCTCTTAATGTCCTTACATAGTGTTCCACATGATCAGTTAATTGATGGTCATTGGCCACAGAAGTGTCTTATAGACTAAAGTTGGAAGATCACAGGTCAAAGTAGGAAGAGGGTATAACTCAAGAAACAGCTCTTTATAACAGCCTTATGGTGGCTGTTAGAGTAGAAACTTCAGCTGAGTTTATATTGCAATAGTGACAGCCATTTTTTTTTCATTGCCTTCCTCCATAGAGAGTGCTAGCATACTCTCCGAGATATATGTGATGTTTGTGTACTCTTCCCCTACACTATGTATATGTTGTTTTATAGGAATTTTAATATTTTCCTTCGTGTAAGAATGTGGCGCCATCTCTGAATGTAGTTAACATTAACTTACATCAAAGATAATAAATGCTCAATAATAGGGATGGAGAGGGTTGTGAACCCCTATTAACATGCCCTTTTTTTCTAAACTATCATCCTATAAAGTTTTGTTGAGATTGGCCTAATGACCTAGGAGTAGTTAGATAGCGGACAAATAGACAAACACAAATTTTTGTGCTTTATATATATATATATATATATATA